ATGAAAGAGGAGGGTAAGAACAACGATGAGCTTGTTGAAAAAGGGGAATAGGAGAAAGAGGTGAGAAAGGTGGGGGAGAAGGGAGAGGAAGAGGAGGTAGGCAGAGGTGTTGGTGGCTCCGAGAGAAGAGGATTAAGGGGAGAGGAAGAGGAGAATAATGAGGATGAAGGTTGTTGGTGGAAATAAAGGAAGAGGAGGTGATGTAGATGATTGCAAGAGGAAGGGATGAAGAGGGAAAGTGGTGGAGGTTGTGTCTGTTGTGGAAAAAGGCGAGGCCAATGAGCTAGCGAGTTTCGCTGGTCAGCGTTTGAACCACCGTCTGTTTGGTCTCGTGTTTCGGCTGCCTTGGCCAGAGGCAGAAGACGCGTAGGAAGCGTTTCCTGAAATTGGCCAGAAAGGCAAAGTAGAGAAAGAAGTTGACGGCGTAGGTGACGTCTTTGAGGGAAGAGAAGAGTCGCGAGAGGTCGATGATGCGTAGGGCGGTGGCGTCGTGCCGGTCAACTCGCGAAAGGGTGAGGTAGAGTCGCAGCAGGACGAGGCAGACGAGCGGAATGTAGAGCAGAAGGAAGCAGGTGGAGAGGGCCAAGTGTCCCGAGACGCGAGCCATCTCGAGGCGGCTGTGCACCGGCTCGGCGGGCATCAGAGCTCGCCGTCGCCGTCGCAACTGGTAGAGCCGTCGCCAGATGGCCAGATTGGCCAGCAACACCAGCCCCACGGGCAGCGTGAAGATGGCGAAAACGTGGAAACCGATGACCGCATTCGTCAGCCGGTGCGCCTCCTCCATGCGGCAGGTGAAGTTGGTCCGACTGATCGGATCGACGACGAGACGCTGGACAAACAGACTCGGCAGGTTGACGACCAGGCTGGTGAGGCCGATGGCGAGACAGGCAAGCCAGGCAAGCCGGCGGTGGTAGATGGAGTAGAACTGGAAGGGTCGGTGGACCGTGACGAGGCGGTCAAGCGAGAAGACGACCAAAATGTAGGCGGCCGCGAAATAGGCCACTTTGGGGATGTACTCCATCAGTTTGCAGCCGACGTCCGAGAACGAGTCGAGTTTCACAGCCACCCGTTGGTGCGTAAGATAGAGCAGACCGCGGCCGAGGAAGTCGTCCAACAGACTGTTGAAGATGAGCGCCACCAGATGCGCCGTCGCCAGGGCCATGGCGTAGACCGAGAACCGGGTGCCCGGCGACTCCAGGCCGAAGGTGACCAGCACCGAAATGTTGCCCAGCAGACCGACCACAAACACCCACGGGGTGATGTAGGCGCGGTAGAAGCCGACCAGGTCGCTGTAGTCCCTCGGCTCAACCGAGTCCGACACGCC